AAAAAAAAAACAATGCAGTCTGTTCCGGTTGACCACTAATAACCTGTAACATGTGATATTTTTCTGCTGAAGGTGCCGGTGAGCTATGCTTACAAGTATGGCGTGCACGATCCCGCCACGGGTGACATCAAACACCAATCGGAAGAGCGAACTGGTGACGTGGTCCGCGGTCAGTACAGCCTCGTTGAGCCCGACGGTACCGTGCGAACCGTCGACTATACGGCCGACCCGGTTAACGGTTTCAACGCGGTTGTCAGCAAGTCYGGTAAACCAAAGAAACCGCGATACGTCGTCCAGACCGTACCCGTCATTCGGACCGTGCCTGTCGTCCGGACCGTGCCAGCTGTCCGGACTGTTCCTGCCACCGCCGCCGCAGAAATCGCGGACGACCCGCACTCGGCCAGAGGACCGATAAGTGAGTTTGACAGTAGCCATTAGAAGAGTGCTCGACGTGTCGAACACTGCGATCGTTCGCATATTATTATGATATTATCAATATTTAAACGACGTATAGCTTGTTMGTAACGATGAGGTATAGACAAAATGTAGGGTAACGCTATGCGAGAAAGATACAGGGCCAATAGGGTCATAGAGGAAATAAAACAGAACACTTGTTAATTCATAATAAAATAGAGTTAGATTACTTGATCAAACACAGAATAGCTATATGATTATAATATATAAGAGGCATCCGGCCCGAATACCTACATGATACGCTTAATGGCATCACCGCTCGGGTTCATTGTCATACCTATATGGAGAAATCACGGCAACTTTGCCGATGAGCCGGTGTTGGTGTGCATCACTTGATTTAATAATTATTACGCAATACGGTGAGGTAAATTTTTTCCACTCAATTTATCGAAGATTGAATTAATAGGTGAAGTAAGTTCGAAGGTATTTTTATAACGTATATAGTAACGAGTTCATAGTCATTAGCCGCGATCCTGGCGCGCCTGACACTTAGATATAACTACCTATACGACTGTCTAGTGTCCTGGTATTACATTATATTACATCTGGATCTGGATACGTTTTATTTTTCTAGACTTTCAAAAGTAAGTTGGTAGCTGCTGTTGTAATATTTAGTTGTCAGCTTGGTAAAATCGTGTCTTTATATTACAAATTATTTCACTTTTATATCGTAATGGAAATATAAATTTATTCAATACAATTAYATTAACTATGAGTAAGGTTTACTAAACACCAGTACGAAAGTATAAAAAGGGTGAAATGTTATCTATGTATTTTCAAAGAATGTAATATGTAGATATCTACCAATCAAATAATAGTTGCTCATTTCATTCAGGTTTTTATCGTATTGAAAATAAACATCTTATAATCATAAAATATTACTATAGTCAAATTTGAAAAACCTTAAGCAGAAAAAACATCCATTTACAATTTACATTTTATAAATAATAGTCTCTAACAGAATATTAAAGTATTGTTCGTAATTGATCTATTATAGCTATCAATCAGAATTTGTTGTTAAGTAATGTTTGTGTTAATMTTTTTAATTTAGRTTGGACTATATAGGCATCTTCCTCACRTCTCACGCCTCTGATCAGGGATTTGAAAATCTCAATTGAGGCTCTCTCAGAAACCATAAATATAATTTTTTTTCATATCAATATAATAAATAATATTTCATAATTTTTGATTATTCATAGGTATGACCTCCAGTCTCCACATATAATAATTTAAATCAATATATAATAAACGTTTTAAGTATCTATAAATTTGGTCATAATAAAAAATTAATTTTTAKGGTACCTRTTATAAAATATTTAATTTAAAATTGTCTAGTAATAAACCTTTTATTATGATTATTGAATGAATAATGACTACTATAAACCACTAGCATGATGATAATGCACCTTAATAATTGTTAATTGATATGTAACATAATGTATTATCACATATATAAAATTATAAATTATAATACAGTTACATTCTGAGAAGTAGGAGTCCCTCAAGATATTTATAAGATAGTATAAAATCATAACGTACTTCCATTATGTTCTTATTAATAATTAAGTATTAATATAAACTTCTGTAGAATTCATACAAGGCATGTTTGTAAACAAAACCTCTTTTCCGGTCTTGATATAAGTATATAAATAAATARGAATCGGCAATCCTGAGTAGAGTGAAAAATGTATTGATTTAACGATAATACATAAATGTATTTATTTTTTTGTGTATCTATCATATTATCATATATAGTTTTTTTTCTTAGAAACAATTTTAAGTCTTCGCTCAGAATCGTATTTCGTATGTAATGTTTTATCATAAATTAATAATTAAAATTTAACACATTACGATGATCTTACCAATACCTTACACACGACACTTACTGCAGCTTGACTTTCCCCGGTTATTTGAGTTRCCGAGCTCTTAGACTTTAGTTCGAATAAATATTTATCGTCAATATTGAATTCATAAAATGATCTGACTTTTGTAAAGTTTCATATTTACATCTCATATTCAATTTAAAATATAACAAATTTTTAACAAGATTATTGTTACTTTGAGAACTAAACAATAGGTACTACTAAAAACAAGTTTTTATTTAGTTATACAGTGCGTACCACTTTGAACATATTTTGAGTGCAGATGCGTAACTTATTTCGAAGTGTAATTTATTTTCAAACAGTTGCAACATGACAAAGAATTTATGATTTTACTCGAAAAAGCCATACAATTACAAATGCATTTTAATGTGACATTCCTAAGTTTTTGTCATAGATTATTTAGAGAAGTTGCTTTTTAAAACGTATAATGGGTATTTCTATTACATTTATTAATTGAATGTAATACCCAGTGAATTAAATACATTTTAAAGAATTCATAATTAGATAATACAACGGAAAATATCATGATTAATTATTATAAAAATTAAATTAAATTATCAATAATTTGAATAATATAAAATATAAAATCATAAGTAACAATTTGTAAAAACTATTTTGAAAAGTAGTACAATTAAATTATTACATAACATGCTCAAAGTTCCTCATAACTTTTCAATATTAGATACCTGCTACTTATTTAAAAACCATATTATAATGTACTTATATATAATATAATATAGAGACTATAGGGAATTACGTTGTATTATACACTCTTTATTATATATTTTATTTTGCTTACATAAATTAATGTTTCAAAAACATGATTAATGATCCTCACAATGTCATATTTCAAACAGAACTTGTTATTCTTAGTTTAAATCCAATAAAAATTTACATATTTTAAAATGTTAAGCATATTAGGTATTAGTTACATAATAGTGAAATACCATTGATTGTATGATACTTATATGTAATATATATTTTATTTACATTATTGAAATTATAATACATTATAATTTATTTTGTCATGTGTCATTTCAGTTAAATTTATACTTCTACAGTCTATATTCTTGAAAATTTCACATTGAAATCCGTCAAAAGCTTGTCGTTTTTGGGGTCTTTTGTTATACTTTAATCGCCCGCAGTTGTATACCACAGCGAATTATTGATCACTTTATACCTATAATGATACTTGTACACCTTTCAACTCAAAATTGGTTCGATTAACGACGAGTTCATTGTGAAAGTACTGGTAGCCTAATTACATACATTTAATTATGTAGTTCGRTTGATTCAACTACTCCTACGATTACACAAAGACACGATAGAATCACAAGAACTATACCAGACATTATTATACTATATATTTAAATAATGGAATGTTTAAAAGTAAATATTTTTTATAAACGTTTTATTTTTTATTTTTTATTTTTTTGAAGAAATCTTAAATGTATATCTGAAAAGTTAGAACACATAAACTACCTCTGAGATTCCTCAAAAATCCTCATAATTTGATCGATTAACAAAATGCGAATATTAAATAGAACTTTTTAGTATGAAATTAGAAAACCCATCAAGAGTTCAATGTTTATAGTTGTTTTTATATTCATAAAAATGTCATGTTTCTATAAAAATTTTAAATTTTAATTCAAAATAAAACACTCTTTCAAATACTTGTCTAGTCATTTCTTTTGTGGCGTTAGTATTCATTATTTTTATCAGTATCTCTCCGTCACACAGAATTAAATTCAGAAAGAGCTTCGTTTCCTACTATACAAGGTTGTTTCTTAGTAACTTTCTAGGAGGTATATAACATATGTATTCAAGTGAAATTAGAGATGCAATAAGTTCCCTTATACGCCGTGTACTCACAAAAACCAACACAACAAACTATACTATAATATTATATTAGGTGTGTAGACATGTACATATAATGTTCGAGCTTGAACAGTAAGTAAACGCAGATGAAAACTTTAATATGTCACAGTGTAGCTTCAATTTTTAATTAGTCAAAGGATTCGAGAACAGCATTACTCTTCTATGAAAAACATATTATAATATATATTTTTTTTATAATTGTTGTTATTTTTAATGTCTCAAAATTAAATTAGACTAATGAATAGTAATGATGACAAAATACTAAATTGCTCTAGTAATATTATTTAACCAACCGATAATGGTTTATTCGAAGATATATATCTAGTAATTATTAGAGCACAGATGCAATAGTAGAAACAAGAAAAATTAATTGCAGTATTGATATTGCGAGAAAAAAAATACCAAATATTGCTTTTTAACATTTAAAAATTCCAGTAAAAAATAGTGTTTCGTAAAAAATACTTTTAATTGATTATTATCAATGTATATTATTGTTTTTCCCCATTTCTATTCACAGTATACCTTGGATAAATATCTAATAAAAAACATTTCACATTTATTTTCATTCTTTTCTTTTTCTGAAATAATATTATTTTAGAAGAAAAAATGTAATTACACTTACAATAAAAAAAAAAAAGATCAATATAAATTAGATTTTATAGAAAATATACATTAAACATCTCTACATTTTTTATATGTGAAACTATTATAAGTATGTCAGATGCAAAGGGACAATCAAATATTCTTAGAAAAAAATATTTAAAGAACTAAAATTTCAAGACAGTCAGTAATATTTTGATTTAAATTCATTATTTTTCTATGTTTTTTCATCTTTCAATTATGTTAAGATTTCAGTGTCCAACAAAATATAAAGGCATAACTTGATTTGGTACATATCATTTTTTAAAGTTTATAAATTATCAAAAGTTTACAAAAATTGATGCTCTATATTTAGTTTTTAAGTMTTACACCACACTTACCTAAGTATACAAAGAAAGGTTGGAAGCCAAATTAATTTTACTAAATGACTCAATTTGCCTATTAATAAAGTAAAGGTACCTATTAATATGATTAATATTTTTAATGTTAAGAATTTATACAATCTAATAAAATATTATAAATTTAAATAAAATAAAAACTCGCCTTTTTTGGTGGTACACCATGCAATCAATATTTCTCATCCCTTGTAAATGTAAATTTATGTTACAAGTTTAATGCAAATTATGCCAATATTCCATCACATTCCATTGGGTCACTATCCTTATGTAATGCAAAAACACAGTATTTAATTTGTATATTGTTTCCCAAATATAATCATACATATGTATTATGTTCAGTAAACTGATTACGATATAATAGAAAACAAAATATCATCTATAGTATACTGTATAATGGATAGTAATTATTTTAAAATGAATCATGATCACATGATAGTTTCGTAGTTTCAAATTTCAACTTGAATGCATATAAGTGTCCGTATTACACACCATTTCTATCGTTCCACTAAGCACTAACCATCGTCTCTGTTACACTGTAATATCTACTGAACCATAAACTGCTCTTGTTTTACTGTTGAGATCAACTTGCCGGAACTCACATAACGTATCACCTTGTAATATATGTAGCAGCAAAGCACTGTCAATTGTCATCTATGATGTATAATAAAACACATTTGAAATAAGTAAACACGTTATTGATTATTGTAAATGTATTACATTTATGCCTTAGTCTTACTGTCTTAGGTGAACCACTAAAAAAATAAACCATCAAACAAATTTTAAATATTTTTGTTAAAAAATATGTCAACAAATAAAAATCATTACAACCAGCTTATTGGAAAGATAAAAAATAAAAAGCAACATCAAAAAAACGTAGACAAACGATTGTTTTGAACAATATATTGACAATATACTCATGTTAGTTTTTTGAATTCAGTTATTTCCCTCAAATCGTACATCATCCATTTTTTAAGGGTCATAGGTCATTCAAATTTGAGTACCTACTGCAGCGAAACAGTATATTCACGACTGAATGATGGAATATAAATGACGATAGCAGGTATGTAAAATAATTGTGTTCATGTTACCGTGAAAAATCAGTATGTGAATATGTGATGCGATAAAAAATAAATTACGTATCTCTTGGCCATTACATCGTCTTATTGAAGAGTATATAGTTTCTGAAATCGAAGTCAATTTCTTCTTTTAACTCTACAGCAAATCCACCGTGAGTAATATTGGTTTTAAATTATATTTTGTACAAACACACATACAATTATTTTAGTTTAAACACGTTCTGTTTAGAAGGAGTTATTTTTTACCATTTTAGTGATCACAAATAAAAATATAGTGTATTATTTGATTATGACGTACTCGTAAATAAATAATAATAATATGTATATTGCATTGAACCCAATTTCGGTTGTAGAACGCTTATGTAGAGTGATTTTTCTGATAAGTTTATTTGTATCGAACACTTACGAGTATTTCATTTTAAATACAACTTGTACAACTTCATTACAATATCCATTATAATATTGTTATGTAAGTTTAATTAAAATACGACATTCGGAAAAACATTAATTTCTACAACGCCGTAGAACAATAAAAATTTCAATTTGATTAGGTCCATGGAATAAAGTTTAAACAATTGCCTATACTAAACGCCGTCGTAATCATTTTCACAAAAATAATATTGCTGTACTAAATTTCATTGATCGAAACTATTAATTAATGGCAGTCATTAAATTCTATCAAAGAAATATAATATAAATAAACCAACACATAGCTGGAAGAATAATATGGCTATATTATCAATTAGACTGCATACCGCCAATGGTTTTTTTAATGTCTAATAATTTTACTAAAATAACACTAATTAACATTATATTTATCATAATATGACACTAAATCCTGACAGTTTAGATTATGATTCATGATTAGAAGATATCAATTATGATGCCGCTAGACAATTGGTAATGTGAGATTATTTCCATGATCAACTGTTAAGTTTGCTCAATGCCATTTATCAGTATTTCTTAAGTTAATCAATCATAGTTGTATTGCTTGCTGGATAAACATTAAATTACCACCTTTTGGGCAGAATTTCTGAGTACATGACGTGTGAATATTATTATACAAATTAAAAAAAAACTTATGCGTGCTCCCAATGACGAACAAATTTGACAAGATTTTTTTTTATTTTACATATTATACACTCGGAAAATGGGCCATTGGGCTTAAAACGAAAATAATTACAACTATTACTTTAATTTAATTTATTTTTAATTTCACGTATAGCCTTGAAAACTTAGGCCATTGGGCTTAAAGYGAAATGTGAGAAATTTAAGTGTGGCCGATTCTAATTCCAGTTATTATGACCTCAAATTTTCTATAGATTTCAATTGGGAATTTTCATTGTCGGTWTTATGTTTAATACGATTTAATTTTGTGTAGTTAGATGTCTACTTCTGGTTCCACCTAAGTTGACATTTATTTTATTTTATTTTATTACATTACTGGTTATATTCGTGCTAATTCCATCCCAAATCTTGATGCAAGAAGAAAGTTTTTTTTWAAATAAGTATTAAAATCTTTAATCCTTAAAAGAAAGGATAATATGTGTGAAATTGAAAAARAATTTTCACTAACAAACGGATAATGATAGAAATTTAAGAATTTTATGGACCAGTCATGTAAAATTATGCTAAATACTTATTAAACAATGTGATGAAAGGCAGCATTTTGAGAATAAAAAAAAATGATCCAATATTCAATTTTATAGAGTTGTTTCTGGTAGAAAATTGTATATAATTGGTAATTTAAGCGATCAAAAGTAGAATATTTTTAGTTCTATAAAAAAAAAGTTGTTGACTTTACTAAACTTTATGATAGAAACTCTGTAAATATTCGATGATACTTACAAATTAAAATAATTATTAAGTTATAAAATAAAACATCATATATTATATATTATTTTAAACAAGCATAGGACATTTGAGAGATACTATAATAATATTATATTATTATACCTAACAGTGTATTATTTAGATATACCTATCCTAATCTTTATTATATTCAAACTATATATTGTGTTATTTTTCATGCCATAAATTATACCGCCATTTCATGATAATCAACCAGTACATTTGAGTTTTGCAATTTTCGTGAATGAAATTCTTTTTTAAGTGTGCCGAATGTAAAAATCATAAAWAAAAATGTACCAAAAATATGTTAGAAAACAAATACCTATTATGGATGCTAAAGTTAAATTTTTGAACAAAATTAATGTAGTAGATACTCAATGTAATGAAAGTGTAAATGACATAAGTGTATCTAATAGGAATAAAATAAAATATAAGCTTTCCATAAATTGTTTATCCAACCATACTACAGCTTATTTTTATCATTAATTGATTCGGAGAAAATTATTTAATATAATATCAAAACTGAAAATTAAATATTTGAAAATGTGACTCTCTCCAATAGAAAAGCAATACATAGACTGACGTGTAAATATTTTAAAATGCAATTTCATTAATATTATCACCACAGCTAAAATATATTATAGTTATGCAGTTTGGATGTATGATGGTAATATAATATATACAARATTATCTAAACTCATATATTATGCACATCATTTTTATCTATATGAACGCTTATAAGACACGTCCTARCATATCTCTAATACCGTAATAAGTTCAACGCGTTGGAGTAAAATTAAAATGTCTAATAAATTGTTTTGACAATAATAATTATAAAATATTAAATAACAAGAAGTACATATTATCATTGATTTTACAGAAAGAGTTACATGTGCATTATTATAGTTTTGACGTTCATATCAAACAACAAACACCGAAATACTGTTTTCATAAAATAAAATGCGATGTTCAATAGAATCAAATTGCATTTTTAACTAAACATTTTTTYCTTTCATTTTAGCTTTCCCGAAGAATGCACAAGAAGACTTTTCAATTACTGCACCGGTATACGAGGAATATTACGACGCAACTGCCATACATCCTAATGAAGTCAACCCGCGCTACGTACAACACTCGAATTATTATAAAGAATATTTTAATTACTGAATCAGAAATATTAAACGTGTCTATGAAATGTCTGAACTCCAATCAAAAATTTTCGACTAGTTACTTGAACAGCAATAATATTACCTATATTGTACTGTAACATAGTTGTATGTGAGTGTAATACATCGATCGTTAAAATAAAATCCGTACCAAGTAAATGTTGGAATTTCATCATCTACTCAACTACGCATCCATGCGTTTCTTTTATATTTTATCTATTGTACTACGATAGACAATAAGAAACAGATAATAATAAAAATAGTAAAACAAGAGATTTATTGTGAACTAAATTATATTTTATCGTTATCATCATTTTAACTGGGTATAGTAGAGTGGAKAATATTTTAATATTCAATTCCATAGATATACCTACTTGTAGTTGCGTTCGACCGTTGTATTCAGTGTAGATATGCATATATTTTATGTGCAAACAGACATTTGTATTTTTGTAAAATTATTTTTAAGAACAGTTATTCTTAGTAATTAACATTTTTATAACTGAGAAACTACCTGATCTAATTTTGAATTAGAAATATCAAAGTTTTAAATCAAATTATTCACTAAATAATTTATGATAAAAAGGGGATTCTCATTTGAAAAAAAAAAGATTGAATTGTTACATGATACTCCTTATGTAATACAAAAATTTTAAGAATTYGAAAATATATAAATTCATTATTAAAGGAAAAGAATGGACTGAGCATGAYTGATGAATCACATTCTATATAACTAGTGGTTCTGTCCTCTGTTTTCTTCGCTCATTGACCTCCACGAGTGCTTTAGCCCCATGACTTAAGGGTCACATCCTTGGATTTTGAAATTTAATATCTGTAATTTAAAAATATTTTTACACCTAATATTGAGGATAAAATATACAAACTTTATTTTAAATAATTTAAAGCTTCGAAGGTTTAATTAATAATAATTATTGGGTATTTTTTTATGTATTGGTTGCCATGGTAATTATTTTATTTGAAAGATAAAATAAACAAAACTTTTTTATAGGTATAATAATCAGATATTATATTATAATAGGAGGCAATTCAATTATTGAATGACATTTTTAAAAATCGGGAGGCAATTCGAGTAACCTTAAAAAAAATCAAAGAAGGCAATTCGATAGTCAAATAGTAAGCAATTCGTGAGCGCCCGATATTATTGACTACCAATTAATTACTAAAAACTACAAAATAACACATGAATTAAAAAACCTAATATGCACATATGCAATATGCAAATGTGAGTGGCCCTTTTGTCGAAGATTCAGGCGAGCAGCTGCATACTACACTGCTGCTTCGTCCATGGACTTTGACTTGTAGCTGACTCAGTGACCGACGTCAACTTCTTGCAGGTTTGATCAAATTAACATTTTTTATTAAAAAATTTTTATATGTTGCATATTTTATTAGCCTAATATTATTGACTAAACCACTAAACAATATAATATTAAAATGGTAGGTACACATAGGTACCCTACTATACATTCTTTTATGTTTTTAAACGAGATAAATCATATTTTAATATTTTAACACTATAAGTCTATAATAATTTGATTATTTGAATATTTTATAATTTACACAATACACATATAAACCATTATTATAGTATTATAAATGAATGTATACAAAGGAGCGTTCGATTGCATACATAAAATGATTATTRTTAAAAACTTTGTACAAGTACTAGTTTTATTGTGTTGAACATTATAGTTAGTGAATCACAATAAATTGTATTATTCGTTTCAAAAGGTGTTGAAGCTTAAGCCGCTTACCACAGGTAGATTTAAGTCTGAAATTCAACCCCTTATTGGTTTTTAATATTTACGACAGAAGACATTATATAGTGAGGGTTGGCTTGAGGTAAAGATTCTGCACTCGATCACTGCAGAATATTGTGTGTTATATCCTAATTTAAGACCAGAATAAAACACATAACGAAACAGTTCTGTAAATAGATTATTTCTTAGTCAAACCGGTGGGTTTTTTTAAACTATTGGCTATTTGCATTATTATTTATGTCTTAGGTAGTTGAATCCAGTGAGAACATTCAACATTGTACGTCGCGTCGGGACAATCCGGTATGAATAGTAAGATATTGTCGAGTTGCGTTTACTTTGCCTTATTATAGATATTATTTTTTGTCTTCAAAGTTCAAGGAATTATAATTTTTTTGGTAAAAACGTTGGCAATGCAAAAAAATTATTCCAGGTGTCAATAGTATATTACACAACATCCATGTTATACATTCGTTGCATTAATCAAATGTTGTGTATAATATTAATATAACATTAAAAAGCTGTTGGCGTAAAGTGTTTACTGGGTATTAGCATTACATCAAGGCAGCTCAACACTTTTATCACAGCATTTAAGCAATTTCGTATTCCAAAATGTAATAATAAACGTTTAAACATCGTTGTGGTTAACGAAAACGATTTTAAATCACATTATATTAAATTAATAGTCGTTGGGTGTCGGTTATTATAACATCCATAAAATAGATATGGAATTACATATAGGTAAATCTATGACTATCATTGTTTATGAAACTTCTGTCCTCAATGATTGATTTATAGCCTGTACTTCGTATAYCTATACCCGTAATAAAATACAAGAAAAAATAGTCGTAATCAAAATTTTTTCAAAATTAAATACTTCGTTCCAAAAATATAAGAAAAATGTAATTGATTGAACAATTTATTCAAAGTACAGATGTAATGAATTATTTCTACAATTAAATACTCACTAATTTATGGCTAAATGCTTTACTGGAAATAAAAACTACCATTTATAAAGAGTCTTCAACATTTTACACCAAATAAAAGATCATATAAATACTATTTTATATTTAATTCTCTACGAGTACAAACAATATTCCTTAATTCATAAATCACACAAAGAGTAAATGTGAACTCTTATAATATAATAATAATACGTATATAACCGTTTTAATTAATTTTGTAAATAAAGAAATTAAAAACTACGTTAATGAAAAAATGTTTGTTTTTTTATTCCGTAATTCTTACTAATCAAATGAATAGGTAGGTACAGTACACACAATAAAATKCAGTGCTTTAATCTTATAATGTAAGCTCTTCAATAGCTATAATATTCAATCTATTATAATCTATTATTATTCTGTGCTTCTTCTCGTTAGTTTTATATAATATAATAGTAACTAGATCTCAATTTATTAGTAAATACTTATGGAGTAAGACAATTACAAGTTACAATGAATTACATTTTTTTAATTACAAATACTAAATATAGTAAGTACGTTATATACGTTGTATAATAAATAAAACAAAAATTTAAAGGTAACTAAATATGATATAAAAATAAATATCAACTATTAACTTTAAAAGTATTTCAAATACACATTGATTTTGAACCTAGTTTGTAGATCAAAATTGTATTGAAAATAAAATTAAGCTTTTTAAGTTAAAAGTTAAAACAATTTTAAAACTAAAATAAAATTTATGTACCCATTTAATTCTACACAGTCCCTATGAAACATGTTCATCGCCCACTGACATTGCTAAATAGCCTTAAACTAGGTGAATTCAAAAAAAAAGGTTCTCACAAAATCAAAATTAACTAACAATTGAGTACCTACCAATTATTAAAATATAATATCTATTGAACACACCTTCACACCCCAAGCATGAATTGTATAAATATCCCTCCTTTTATCACCATATGTTAAATTTAACTTCAGCCAATAATCTTTGTTGTTGCGGCTTAATTTAAAAAAAAAAAAAATATCTATTGAAATATTTAAAACATTAAATATCTATGCCAATAATAGAAATGTATCTCATGTAAATTAATATTAATGTGATTAAAATAGCATATTTAAAATAGTAATAATAATTTGTATTTAATTAGTAATTTTTTTGCCCTTCAAATAAAATGTTATTTTCCTTATAAATCATTATATTTAATTTTAAATTAAAAGTTTCAATAATTTAAACGATTTATATTTCTAAACAGCTAAAAAAACATAAGTTTTAAATTTATTGCTTTCAAGTGACCCACATAATACTTCTTCAGACCTCCTATTGATTACATTTTTTTTTTATATATAATTATATAATTTTAAAAAATATCTAGGAGGTAGGTACTAATATTATTTTTATATAAATACTTAAGTACGAGTACCTGACCTTCTATTTATCAATTTCAAATTATATATAATTTTACGCTCGCAACCATCTTATATTATGTTAAATATTATAATTATTTAAACATTTAACTTCTGAAATTTTGTTAACTTCATTATTTAAAAATGGTATATAATTCTAGATGTAGATCAAATTTAATATTAACTTATAATATTATAAACACTACTCCTATTACTTATTTTACCTTCAATTTATCTTGTATAATACGAGTTCCTATTGAAAAGAAACTCGTTCCTGTTCCTCTTAATATTTTTCTCCTGAGTGGTTTTCAATATTATTATTTTTCGCTTACAACTTTTAAACCATAAATAATGACTATTTTTAAATTCAATATCTTTTCTTATAGTTAATTGGATTTAGAATGAACTTTGAAGGAGTTAGCTTATGATTTTTACTCATTTACAACAGTCAATAAATGAGTAAACAAAAACTAATAAGGAGTAGCGGGAAAATATAAATTTATAAGAAGTCTCGATTTTTAACAAAATCAATTTGGTTTAGTTGTTATTAAATATTTTAATTTACWATCATTTTGAACCATTACCACAGTAGTCAGTAACAGAGTTATATCTAACAATTTTCGGTTCCTCGTTCCTAATTTTGAAAAGGAACGCATTCGAAGCTTCATTGAATAAAATTCATTCCTTCCCAAAACTGTGTTGCCCATAGAAAATATAATTCTTTTTCAGTAGTAAACTTCTTTTTCAAGTAGTAGACAAAGTTTTTATACATTAATTATAAATAAATAAATATATATATATAGGTTTAGTATTAGAGATCGTCGATTCTACATCTAACGTACAAAGTACATTAATAACCCGTACTCATTTCAATGAAGAAAATGTATAGGAACTAATAAAAAGATAATATTATTTGGCTGATTATGATATGTACAAGAGTACAAAATTTTTTATCGAATACATAACACAACTATGAAATGTGGAAGTTGAATGTACC